GGCAGGCGGATCTCTGTGAGTTCAAGGCCAGCCTGGTCTACACAGTGAGTTCCAGGACAGCTGGGCCTACAGGGAGACTCTGTCTCAAAAAGACCAAAAAAAAAAATGTTAAAGGAACCTAAACAAAGGCTCGTGTGCAGTTTTTCCTTCTTGTACTTTTATATATTTTTTAATGTTTAGAAAGATCCTATATACCTATATACCATTCTTATAGCCACAAAAATTAAATGTCATTTCATTTGGAAAGAAGTCACCCAGAAACCTACAACCTTGATACAGTTTTTATTTGGGTACTCCTGTCCAGTTTTTACCCATATGTAAACAAGTATTTAGTATAGCTATCATCAAAAGTACACACAATTTTATGACCCACTGTTTTACTTAAAATGATAGTTAACACTCTTTCTGCAGGGTGGTATTTATCACTTTAAATATTGCATTCAGACTGTACCACATTAAAGGCTATAATTTACCTCACTTTATTGGGTTGACATATAGGTGGGTTGGCATTTTTCCTGTATAATAGGATACTGTCACTATCAACATCTGTCCACATCGCTCCTTCTGTTTTAAATCAATTCCTAGAAATTATGGCACCAAAGTATTTGAATGGTCTCTGGCTCTTAATAAGAACTCGTATACCCCCCTTCCAAAAAGATTGCATCAGTTTTACTCCACAACCAGGAATGATTGCATGTAAGAGCTTCCACACAACCTCCGTAGTGTTGGGTTTTATGGGCTTTGTCTTTACATTTTCCTTTGCAATGTACACTGTGTTTACACAGTGATTCTACATTCCCACTTCGGAATCCTCTGAGTTGCTCTTTGTCCATCTTGGGGAGGACAGTCTTACGGCCATGGAAAGCTTCCATTCAGTACTGACCAGTTCTCTCTATCATTTGAATTGCATTTTTTTCATTCTATTATTTTCCTTTTTAACCTTGCTTTAGTGTTGGTTGGTTTGTTTATACGCTTAGAGCAGTTTTCTTGCCTCATCCTCCCTCTAGGGTTTGTTAGGAATAAGCGTGAAAATGACTTAAGGCTCTCAAAAGAGCAGGTCCTTGTGGTGGAAAAGGGAGCGATAACAGGAAGTGGGCATCTAGATGAGACCCTGTTTCCTCCCTGCCCCTGTTCTTCAAAAGCTGTGACCTCATTAATAGCGTTCACGTGCTGCCTCATTAGCATAGGGCTGCTGCAGTTGGAATTTGTTCGAATCCCCAGGGATCTGACCGTGACTCATTTCCCCGTCAAGGAGAGAGATGGACATGGGTCCTCTCTACCCTGAGATGGTCACCTCTGTGTCATTAAGCCATGCTCTTTCCTACTGCTGCCCACCAAGTTGAAAAGGGTCAGGGCTGTGTGGCCCTGCAAGTCAGCTTAAGTGATGGTTCTTCACCATCCTAAGGGATCAATATGCCTGGGGTAGGCATATTGAAAAGGGGAGAGGGACCAGTACAAACCAACTCCGCCATGCGTGCTGTTCGCCGAAGGGATGCTTCAGAGCTATGCCCAGCACGGAACCCAGCATGCCTCCTACCTGTAGCCCAGAGCCCAGTCAGTCCCGCCCAACCCTGCTGCCACCTTTCTTTCTTTCTGCTGCTCTGTAGACTAAGAAAACGCTTCCTGCACCAGTCCTTGGTGACTCTTGCAGAACCTAGGGGTCACTGCCTGACCCCCACTGCTCTTCTGTTTCAGTTTCCTGCTTCTTCAACTTCACCAGCCCTTCTGGAATCGTCCTGTCTCCCAACTACCCCGAGGACTACGGCAACCACCTTCACTGCGTCTGGCTTATCCTGGCCCGGCCCGAGAGCCGCATCCACCTGGCCTTCAATGACATTGATGTGGAACCTCAGTTTGATTTCCTAGTTATCAAAGATGGAGCCACCGCCGAGGCCCCAGTCCTTGGCACCTTCTCAGGAAACCAGCTCCCCTCCTCCATCACCAGCAGTGGCCATGTGGCCCGTCTCGAGTTTCAGACAGATCACTCTACGGGAAAGAGAGGCTTCAACATCACCTTTACCAGTAAGTGCTCCTTCTGTCACCAGTATCACCATTAGCAGTGAGTGCTCCCTCTGTCACCAATGGACCATGTCTCAGGGTATCTACTGAGAGGATGACTGAAGGTATTCCCACGGTATCCATGTAGTCGGCCAGTTCCAAGGGCACAGATGGCTTCACAAAGCTTCCCAACAGGAAGCCTGGAGCACTATCTCCTGGGTCAACTGTTCCTTCTGTGGTGTCACACTTTGTGAGCACTTATTTCCGTAGATGTCCCATAGGGTATAAAGGAGCCGGGGCTTTCTCATCTTCCAGCTAGAAGCAGCGATGCCCTAGGGAAGAATGCCTTTCAAATTCACCCATCAATCAGCTCCCAGTCCCCCAAATCCCTGAACACTTCTTTCTGTTGACCTCTAGTGCCACACATTTTGCCCATAACCAAAGCAGAAGCAAAGGCTTGGAGCTATTTCCATGGCACACAGAGGCTTACTGCAGCCACTCATAAGACATGTCTCACAGCCCCTCTCAGAGCCACGATCTGGACATTGTAGCCTCCCATCCCCATCCTGGGTCCATGTTCAGAAGCAACCTGAAGCTCAGTGGTGGTTATTCTCATCTCCATGTCTCCTTCCTTCAGTGGGCAGAGGGGGCAAGCAGGAGCTCGGAGACTGGGAATGGCAAGCTTCTAGAGAGCAAGAATCCATGATGATGTCACAGGACAATAAGCATTGCTCATGACAGATAGTTGACTGGAACTGAAGCTGGGCCTACTGAGTGGTTAACCAGTTCCTTTCCCAAGGGATACTTGGGAAACCAAGTCCCCGATTCAGACTTCTCCGCATGCGTACCCAGATACATGCAGAAGGTGTTCACCTATCTCATGCTTTTGACAAAGCAGCTGTCCTCCTAACTCTGGCCCCCACCCTTGGCATGATGTCCTTGCACCCTTATCTCACCTGCCCTTACGAATTTGGATACTACAGGGTAGGCCATTTGCGACCCAAGCTGAAGCCCTGCTCCTCTCATACCATCTTCAGTACACAAAACTCACTAGAAACAATCAAGCTTCCCAGCATACTTCTCCTGGGGAGGGGGGGACGGGGTTCCCTGTCTTTCCTAAGTGTTCTAGTCTGGCACTGAGGGCTCTCTGGCTTTTAGCTTCTCTGCCCTCAAACCTGTTTCCCCATGAGACCATGAGCTCTGGAAAGGAGCAGGTTCCTTACTCAGTTTCCCATCCCTTCACTTGGGAGAAGTGATGACACCATCTGCTGCTTGCTGAGCACCTACGGTGTGCCAGATCCCATGCTAAACAATTCAGCCATCACTTGTAGCCTCATAATCAAACTCCTTCAGCAAAGATCGAAATAGGAAGCCGATGTTTGAAAAGATACATGGGGAGAAAGCAGGCAGGGATTAAATTCTCACCTTAAAGTTTTTGTTCCCAGATGTTAGAAATAGCACCATATCGCTGCTGTGTAGGTGTAGGTGTGTACATGGGCATACAGAGACACGTGCATGCATATGTGTGTGTGTATGACTGATAGGGTTTGGGCTTCTGGGCCCCAGACCCCACTCTTCTCATCTCTCCGTGACAGGACAACCTCATCGTCCTTTTCCTTATGAAGAAAGGGCTGGAGATTGAGTCTAAGCTGACTTCCGCCTTGTTTTTCAGAGGGAAAGGTGTAGGGATTTGGCCCTGTTTAGGGTCTCCACATCAGAGGCCTCCCCAGCCATCTGCAGCAAGGATCCTAGGTTTTATGTCTCTACCATGAAGGGATTTCAGAGGCCTGGGAACCAGGCTCTTTGAAGAGGTACACGCCCATGCAACCATGGGGCCTGGTTCCCATCCTTAGAACAGCCAGGGCACACGTGAGACCTGGCTTCAGAGATACTTGGGTGTAGGAAGACCAGAAATGCTCTCAATGGAGATGGTGGAGGAAAGAGCATCCTCTCATGTAAGTAAAGGGAGTCCCTTAGAAGATGCGGACTCGCCCTCAGCAAGTACTCACTGTCACCAAACCCCCACTTGACATGTTCTTATCAACTTGCATTTTATTCCCATCTTGGAATGATCCTGAAAGAGAATTTCAAAGCCCATCTTAAAGGTCAGGAAATTGTGGCTCAGCAACATGACAAATGTGGCCCAGGACCACATACTAACAAAAGGCAAGGCTCAATACCATCTGCGGTGTCCGTCTCTTTCTCCTTTCTGCTCACCACATTGTCAGTGGCCTGGCAGAATGACCAACAGCCCTGACAAGAGGCAAGAAATTAAGGCAATGGCTTTGGACAGGGTCCATTCCAGGGCGCCTACTTTATGATGCTTTGCGTGTATTAGTGTCATAGGATTGGGAGCCAGCTCCCTGCAGCATGTGTGATCCCATAACTGTCTGAAGTTTGGGAAGCACTGAATGATGTGACATGGAAGAGACAGATCTGCTATTTAGCTGCATGGAACCTTGATTTCCCCTGTGGCAAACTAAGTAATCCTATGTCCTTGATAGAATCTTGCTGTGATATAATGATGTATCATGAGAAACACAGATCTGTCAGCATCCCTTTGGAGTGCTCAGACAGGCTGGAGAGCAAGCTTAACTCGAGCCTGCTTCATGCCCAATGGGTTCTGTCTGTCATGACCAAGGAGCCCCAGGTCCTGGGACATCCAGCTCTCAGTCCAGCACTGCAAGTTTTTGGAGAAGCAGTGGAGGTCTGAGGTTGCTATTCATACTGCAGCTTATTTACTTTGGGGTCCATAAGCATCCCACTTCAGTCTAATCATGTTCCGGAACCCCATCTTCACAGCCTTCAGACACAATGAGTGCCCTGATCCTGGCGTTCCAGTTAACGGCAAGCGGTTTGGTGACAGCCTGCAGCTGGGCAGTTCCATCTCCTTCCTATGTGATGAAGGCTTTCTGGGAACACAGGGCTCTGAGACTATCACCTGTGTTCTGAAGGAGGGCAGCGTGGTGTGGAACAGTGCTGTGCTCCGATGTGAAGGTGAGTGCCTATAGATTGGGTAGTGACTGTTGGCAACTCCAACCACTGTGGTCCATCTCTGCATTCATCCATCCTCTTCCCTCAAGGACCCAGAACCTCCCTTGCCGTCCTCTCACTGGAAGGGCAAAGTCTGATGGGAATGCTCTCCCTAATATTTGAATTGTGACCAGAGATTAAACTGGAGAAATTGCTTCTAGACTGTCAGGCATCAAAGTGCCTCTTCATTCAGCTGACAGCTCCCAATATTACAGCCATTAGGAGCTGGGTTTCTGGTTCCCAATCAGGGGAGCCTCATGGCCCCCAGCACATGTATGCCAGCATCATGACTTTCCAGTCTCTGGCCTATTGTTCTCCTCCATGTGCTCTTCCCTCACTCCTGGACTCTCTCCAATGCATCCTTTGTGCCCCATTAAGTGCCACCTTGATATCCTTGTGGTTACCCTCCAGGCAACACCAGACAGACCAGCTGGAAGAAACATAGCTTATAGCAAGCACTGGGCTCATTACAGCATCTGCTTAACCCATCCCATGGTAGTTTTGAGTCAACTTGGGAGACTAGTGTCTGTTCCTGCAGACAGCAGAGATTTCAAGTATAGATTGTGCCTCCCAAGGACAGGGATCATGTCAAACCTGTGTACTGGGTACAGTCTATGGCACAGAATCAATGCTCAATAAGTATTTTGTAACAGTAGAGAACAATGCATTTCCCAAAGGTGGCTTAATTTCACTGGTGTATGGAAGGCAAGGGCTGTGATTTCCAGAACAGAAGGCTTCCATTCATCCTCTGTGTTGGGCAGAGAATGGCAACTTAAGAGATCTACCTGCTCCACCCAGTTCCCAACCCCAAGTCTGATAGCCTAACTACCACAAGTGAGCAGCCACTGAGCATGGGCGGCCGCTTTTTCCTTCCAAGCTTCTGGTTATTCAACTGAGAAATTAAAGGGTGGGAAGCTGATGCGTTATACCGGTCTGTAAAGGGCCAGGCATAGCACAAGCACTCATCAGTGTTTGTGGTGCTCCCCTTGGTGTGTGGGAGGAACTTAGGACGTCTTTCTGGCTCCCCATACCTGCATGGTGTCTGACACTTGGTAGATTCACAGTTTGTGCTGGTTAATGATTGACTGAATGGATGAATGGATGAATGAATGAACCAACCAACCACTTCTTAACCAGACCAAGGCCTCCCTATAAGAAACGTGTCAGTGGCAGACCTCCAGAGCCCAGACTCTCTCACCTTGCAGCTAACCAGCCAGGTCACTCTGGGCAAACCACGTGGCCCTTCTGTGCCTCAGTTGCCCCCTCTGTAAAGTACAAACTCCTAGCTGAGTTGTTATAAGAGTGGCTTGCAGAGTAATAGCACTCAGTAAGTGTTGGCAGTTGGTGTTATTTGAACTTGGTTTTCTTCAACTGATCAATCAGATCAGGATTCACTCTCCTTTGGAGAAACTGGGGTTTTTTTTTTTTTGGTTT